TGTTCTCCAATTAAAATTAATTTTAAGTTTTTTTATAGGCAGTCACTTTTAAAACAGTAAAAATTCCTCACCAGCTTAAAACACTTTCTCTTTCCGTATCCTTCCGTTTTGGAGCCGCCCCGACCTCATCAGCCATTTGGCTGGATTTTTTGTCACCGGCTTGCAGAACTTCTCTTGGATCAATCAGGGACTTTGCGATGTCTCTGTGATCAGCAAGATGTATTCTTCCTGTTCACCGTCTCTATGGGACGGTATAGGTCCGTTTGGACCACCCAGAGACAAACGTGTCGACTGTGATCTCAGAGCATTGAGATCACACATCGTGTCGTCACGACTTTGGCTCCTCCCATTTTCTGTGATGCATCTTTTGTGACCTTCTGACAGACCAAGTCAATGGGTAAGTTAGTTAACTGTGTTAGTTAACTGTGTTAACTAACTTAATAACTGCAGCAATTCACTTAACAACTATGGCAAGAAATGTCGTAAAGTGAGGCAAACTTCACTTAACAAATGTCTCACTTAGCAGCAGCAATTTTGGGGCTCAATTGTGGCCGTAAGTCAAGGACTACCTGTGGTGACTATGGGTTGAGAGGGTTTGGGGGCTGTGTGGAATGCAGCGTCAGGATTGGACCTTCAAGAAAAGGAAGGAAGCGTCTTTTTTGCCAACCCTTTTGGTTCAGAGCAGGTCAGGGAAGGTGGCAAGCGGCAGGCAAGAGTCACAAGCAAAGAAGAAAAGGCAAAAAAAAATTATTTTGAGGATTCTTTTTTAAAAAAAGAGTAATCTGACTTTAGTAGGCTACCTTGCTTACTTCCTCCCCACCCCCCACAAATTTGCTTCTCTTAGAAATGAGCAAGTAATTCATGCTTGTAGTATATGAAAACTTTTTTTCTTGTACTTTTCAAGAATTAGAATTTAGGTAATACATTGTGAGAGGTAAACGTATTTACTTTTGTCCAAGTTGTACATTTTAGCAGTATGAAGATCTTCAAACTAGATCTGTTTTATTAAAAACTTCAGAACACTGGGGGGGGGGGGGAGGAGGCAGAACTTTTAGGACAAAACTGCCCAAAAGCCAGGCTTTTGAGCTTATTATGAATGGAAAAGTTTACAAACACCTGGAAGGGAGCTAGAGCAGAATCCTGGGATGCCCAGAAGGGGCTTTTCCGGCCATGCGTGACCCTTCTCCTCAGCCTCCTCTTCCCCCTTGTACTTCAGGGCCTGGTACTGGGGCTACCTTTCCATCTATGACAGCGGGGGTTACATCCAGGAATTGGGAACGACTCTCCAAGAAAGCAACGCTTGTCTGCAGGGCCTCCAGCAGAACAACTGGATCAACAACAGGTGGGTGAGGAGGGCAGGAGAGACCCAAGAGGGAAATCGAGGCAGGTTGCACCTCCCCCCCCCCCCCAAAGCTCCTTGCTTTGTGGTATTTTGACCTGTCTTTCCATCTGTTGCAGGAGCCAGGCAGTCTTTCTGGAAATGAGCCAGTACCACCCTGTACTGGACCTCCATACTGCCATCACGCTCCGGCTGGAGTTCCCGGTGACAAAACACTCTATGCCAGCTGTGACCGTCACTCCCTTCCCGCTGCACCCCCTTGGCAGGAGGGTGACCCTGCAGCTGCTCATGATGGTCAGTCCCAAAGCCTCCCTGCTCCTCCTTCCTTGTAGAGGGCAGACTGTTGTAGAGGGCAGGGCCAGGACTAGTAAATGGCATTTTTGGCCCAAAGAGACTCCCTAATTCAGGGGTGAAATGATACCGGTTTGGGCCGGTTTGCCCAAAGTAAAAAAATACTAAAAAAAAGTTTTTTTAAAAAAAGTTCCAACGGTCACACATCACAAAGCCAAAAACAGGGCTGTGGGGGGGTGTCCGTTTTTGCACCCCTTAAGCCTACTAGGCCAAAAATGGGGGTGGGGTTGCTGAGAAAGAAAGAGAGAGAGAGAAGGGAGAAAGAGAAAGAAAGAAATAGAGGGAGGAAGGGAAAAAAGAGAGGGAGTGAGGACCACAAATCTAGCACTAGAGGCAACTTCAGAGGATACCTTGAAAGAGCACAGCAATCCAGGGCTGGAAGGGGCCTGGAGGTCATCTAGTCCAACCCCCTGCCCCAGCCAGACATTGTTAAAGTGAATTTCTGTCTTTTGATCCCCCAGTCACATGACCCACAGCCACAGAACTGGTAGTAAAAAAAAAATAGATTTCACCACTGCCCTAATTCCTCTGGGCCACGAAAGAATGGAGGGCCTCTGATTGACAGGAGGATGAAAAAAATGGCAGCAACTCTCTTCATTGTCTGAACACTTCCCAGAGAATGACCCACTGGGAACCCCATATTAAAACAACCCACCTTACGGGTGGCCAGCATTTGAAAACAACATTTAACACAGCTCAGGATTGAGTAAAATGGTTTGGCTGAGATTGGTATATATGTGGGACTGATTGAGGTTGATTGTAGGGATGATACTGAAATATGATTTTATCTTATTTCTATATATCAAGTTATTGTATTTTACTCCAATGTCATTTTAAATTGTCTTTGTAGGATTTTATTAATAATTTGTACTTGGAACTCTGCGTTTTGATAGGGCCAATATTGGCTAATCAATAAGCTTAACTTTCCAGAGAGCCCATGTTTCTACTCAGGGTGCAGCTCCAAGAAGTGACAGAAGGTGTGGAAGGGACTCATCGGGTATGGCCACCCCCACTTTTCCTGGGAGCTCACCTGTCCTCTTTCTCCTCCCCATCCAGGTCTTCCTTATGATCTTGGTGGTCTATTTCGTGGTCTCCGAGTCTCTTGCCATCAAGAAGGAAGGCAAGGCCTACTTTGCCCTCCTCAGCAGCTACGGCCAGTGGCTGCTCATCCTGGCCACCACTTGCACGGTGGTCGTCCACCTCAGCCAGGCCGCTCTCGCTGAGCGGCAGTGGGCAAAGTATCTGAAGAACAAGCGGGCCTTCACCAGCTTCTACCCGGTGGCATCTCTCCACGTGGCCTTCAGTTGCCTGGCTGCTTCTCTGCTCTTCCTGCTGACAGTCAAGGTAGGAACAGGTGTCCATCAGGAGGGCCCTGGAATCAGTTAGGAATTCCAAGTTTCCTTGTTAGGAGAGCTTCGGAAAACACGAAGGAACAAATTTGTGGGTGTGACAAGGAGCTAAAGCTTTCTCAGTGGATTAACAGGATTGGAAAGGACCATGTAGATCATCTAGTCCAACCCCCCACTCAAGCAGGAGAGCCTAAGCCATTTTTGACAGATGGCAGTCCAGTCTCTTCTTGAAAGCCTCCAGGGATGAAGCTCCCACAGCCTCTGAAGGCAACTTCTGTTCCATTGGTTAACAATCTGATTGAAACTCTGGAAAGACTGCAGAGAAAGGCAACAAAGATGATTAAAGGCCTGTAGACTAAAACATAAGAAGAACTGGAATTGGAACGTCTAGTCTAGTGAAAAGAAGGACCAGGGATGACATGATAGCAGTCTTCCAATATTTGAAGGGCTATCATAGAGAAGAGAAGGTCAACTTATTTTCCAAAGGACCAGAAGGCCAGACAAGAAACAATGGATGGAAACTGATCAAAGAGAGAAGCAACCTGGAATTAAGGAGAAACTTCCTAACAGTGAGAACAATCAACCAGTGGAACAGAAGTTGCCTCCAGAAATCGTGGGCGCTCCATCACTGGAGGTTTTCAGAAAGAGACTGGATTTGTCTGAAATGGTAGAGGGTCTCCTGCTCCAAGGTCCCTTCCAGCTCTATTTTCTGGGCTATTCTATGTTAAACCACTGTGTTTGTAGCTAAACGATTGAGGATGTGAATTAGGGGCAGCTTTGACCGATTAAGGCAGAAGTGACACCGGAGCAGGACTCTCAGATCCCCATCCACTCAAGGAAGGGCTTCTGGTCTTAAACTGAGCTGAGGTTGCCCCAACTGATCCCCCACAGAGGCAAAGGCCAGCCCTTGCTCAGCCAGCCTCCCTCTCTGCTTCCCAAAGGCTTCCCAGCAGCTACGCTTCATCCGACAGTGGTCCACCTTCGGCAAAGCTTTGCACAAATCAGCCGGGGAGCTGCTGGGCACCGGTTTGGCCTTCGCGATCCTGATGTTGGCGTACACACACCTCGGATACCTGGTAATGGGGGAAACCCTGAAATAGGGAGGGGTGGGCTGAGAGGACATTGTCCCAGCAACATGTCAGCAACTGGAGGGAGAGGAGAGCTGGGCCCCTTCCTCTAACCTGCCCTGTGGAAGCCCCTTCCCCTGGTTTGACCCCCAACCTATGCCAACCATTCCAGGGACTTTTTTTTACCATCCTGAGCAAAATGCCTCGTCTTCCGGCCAACTGGAGGGGATCCATGCAGTCTCTTTTCTAAACATGGTTTCTTCAACTTAGTTTTACCAAAAGAGAGCTGGTTCTCCTCCTTGACTACCATCAGCCCCGTTCTGCAGGAAGAGACGTTGACATTGGTTGGGATGCTTTCCCAGAGCAGGTGGCAATCCCTCCCCCAGGCTCCCCCTAGACTCGGTTTCAGCATTTCATTCTTAGCTGCCTTATGAAAAAACACCTGTGGGATAAATGCTCTCTCTCCCTCCCTCCCTCCCCCCTCTCTCTTTCTCTCTCTCTCTTTCACACACACACCATTTGAGGGTCAATGGGCCTTCAAATGTTTGCACCCCCAGCATAGGATCCCTGATGCCCATCTTTTCAAATCCATTCTTTGGGGAGTTCACTTGATCCTAAATACAATTTTGGGTGAACCAAGCTTGTTCTTAAATCTGTAAATACAGATAAAATTAACATTTTTAAGGCTATGAAGCCCATTAACCCAGCTTTAACAGAAATTCTAATTCTCTAGTTGAGGGGTCTCCAACCTTGGCAACTTTAAGCCTGGTGGTCTTCAGCCCCCAGAATTCCCCAGCCACCAAAGCAAAGCAAAGCTGGCTGGGGAATTCTGGGAGTTGAGGTCCTCCAGGCTTAAAGGTTCCAAGGTTGGAGACCCTTGCTGTAGTCCATCTTTGAAATATCCCAGAAATGCTTGCTTGAAAAATAATATTCTTGAGCCTTTGACAGCGATGCGTTATAGCATCGATTTTATTTCCATCGCGGATTCCAAGGGGTGTTTTTCTCATTCATACCCATGCCAGGAGATCTTGGGCGGGGTGTGTGTGTCAAAGTCAGCCATTTTGTGCCAGACGGTGCAGTTAACAGTGAGTGCGGATGGGCTGCTGCTCTCTGCAAGCGCTGGACGTCTCTGTCCATTTCTGAGTGGGAAAAACAGGGTTCAAGGGCCTTTTTTGAGGTCTTGAGCAGTGTGGAGGCTGGGAATCCGCAACACCAACACCCCCATGAGGCCATTTGGGCTTCAGCTACGCAGGGAAGGAGAGTCCTGAGCTCCAGGCTGCCTTCCTAGACAGACCTTTCTGGCCAGCCGCTCACCAACCTTCCTCTGTGTCTGCACAGCTCTTCTCGTCCACCTCCGAGGGCTTCTCTGGCTTCGGCCGAGGGATCCAGCTGTTCCTCACCGGTCTGCAGAGTGGCAGGAGCATCCCGGGACCTGCAGGGCTCCCCCACCTCCTCTGGGCCAGCTACATGGTGCTGCAGCTGTGGTGCCTCTTGCGGCTCTTCCCCGCTGTGCTCATCCGTCATTACCGCGAGACCCGCTTTGAGATGTACCGGCCAGCCTTCGAATCCCAGGACTACGAGATGGTGGAGCTTTTCCTTCGGAGGCTCAAGATGTGGATGGGATTCAGCAAAGCCAAGGAGGTGAGTGGGGGGTGGAAGCCTAGGTCGGGGGGGGGGGAGCCTCCGGGGCTCTTGGGCTCCTCTCGCTGGCCTGGCTACTCTGGCCCAGCTCAAAAGGGAAAGGAGGTCTTCTCCTCAGGTGGCACTCTGGTCTTTGGGCTGTTTTCTCCAAGGAGGAACCCCGTCTCTGGAGCGACAGCAATTTAGCACCTGCCCAAATAGCGCAAGTGGTGTGATGGGGGGGGGGGGGGCTTTCTAGCTGTGTGGGAGTTGAAAATCTCACATCCGCCCCATAAATGCTGTTCAGTCTTTTAGCAGTCAACTGATGATGTGGCATCCAGAAAGGCACCTGGCCTTCTGCGCCTGCAGGGACAGGAGGCCCGGATCACAGGGTAGTCCAACGGTACTAGTGAAGACCCCATCCCTTTTTTAGGAGTCTTACACATGTGAGGCATGCCAAAGGGACAGGGTGTCAGCATTCCAAATATCATCCAAAATTAAATCAGAGTCCAAGGTAGAACTTTCCTCAAACTTCCAATTTATTAAGAGAGACATGTTGGCACATATGTGGAAAACCCGAATCTGAGCTTCCTGGGTTTCCCCACCCAGTTGAAAGTTCAAAACCTTGGCCTCACACCCACAAGTCCATCCCATGATCCAATCTTCCTCTGCCACTCTGGCATCTCCACCCATCCACTTCCGGTCAGGTGCAGAGACGAAGATTATTTTGACAACAACAGATTCACATTCTACTCCTTACTATCCTCCCTCCCAATTCCCCACTAATGAAACAGCATAGTAAAATAAGAGTGTGTGTGGCAGGCCAAAGATCCTAAAAGGAATATAACTGACCCAGGGCTCCTTCCATTGAGCTCTAAGGGCTGCCATCACGACTGTTTTGATATTGCCACCAACCTAGATCCCCCCTCGTGACCTGCCCTTCCCTCAGTGACAGCACTCACCTTGAGGGATCTCCCCCACACCCGCCCCAATGAACCTGCATGGAGATCAGGAGGGTTTTAGGAACGGCGGAGACATTTAGGGCTGCCAAATGTTTTTGTTGCCAAGTGGACTTTTTATGCAATTTGGGAGTGGCTTAAAATTTTGTTTTATTGGTTTTGATTCAAATCCAGTGGCACAGATGTATCTATGGGTGTCTGTAAAATCTGCTTTGGAACCAGAAGGCGCTTTAAACCATCTTTTGGTCAACCAATGAAAAGGTCCTGGACCATCAGGCAGGGTCCTCTGCAGTTGTGCTCCCCTCGCCGCTTCCTCTCGCCTTTGAGGAAGAGCGGAGTCGAGGCCGGCCTGCCAGGGCAACCTTGACCTCATGGCTTCTGGTCTGCTCCCTCTCCACACAGAGTCAGACCGAGTGCAGATGCTGGCAGCTGAAGGCAGAGACTCCCAAGAGGGCAAAACAAGAGCGAGTAGATAAGGGGAAGGCAGGGGATTTTCCTAAGCTTCACTTTTAAGCCCCTGCTTTGGCCTCTTTGTGTGAGGCTAAAGTTCTCCCCCTGTGCCATGTGCATTTCATCACCATTATGGCTCACATAATTTTGCTCTTGGGGAAATGCAGATGGGGGGTACTTAGAAGCCCTGCTGAGTCTCCAGGGCCCTCGGGTGGGGCTGGGACGAGTCCCACGGCTGAGATAGAAATAGCAATAGCACCTAGGTTTATATACCGCTCCACAGTGCTGTTACAGCCCTCTCTAAGCAGTTTATAGAATCAGGCTTTTGCCCCCAACAAACTGGGTCCTCCCTTTACCCGCCTCGGAAGGATGGAAGGCTGAGTCAACCTTGAGCCGCTCAGTATCAAACTTTTGGCAGCGGAGTTGCAATAAAATGTAATACTGCATTTTAACCACTGTGAAGGGAAGGAAGGAAGGAAAAAAAATAGCAATAGCACCTAGACTTATATACCGCTTCAAAGTGCTTTGCAGCCCTCTCTAAGCGATTTACACAGTCAGCCTCTTGCCCCCCCCCCCCCCCCCCCCCCCCGCCCCCCCCCCCCC